CCCTAAAGCATCCAAAGCCCTATGACACTTGATTGGCTGGTTGAGGTATACGGTGAGCTCAGCTGGCTTCTTACAAGTTGATGGAAGATTGAGGACTCGGTTCCCCAGTAACCCATTAATAACAAGGGTACCCTATGGTACCCTTTTTCCTAGTGAGCAGCTTTAATAAGGAGACCCCAACAGAAAAAGGCAAAAAGTGTACTACTGGGGTACCTAGAGGATTACGTGTCAATGTCTGGCATGGAGACATTGAAATGGTCCTTTGGAGTCCCCGGCGGATGATTTTACAACTGGCTCCCCCTAAACTTGAAACCCGAAACCTAAAACCCGAAACCCCAAGCCCTAACCGTAAGCACTAAACCTAAGCCCTAGACCCTAAACCCCTAACCCTACACCCGAAACCCTAAACCATACACCGTGTCAGTAAAGTTTGAGGCTACCAAGCTATAGCTCCGTTTTGGTATCAGCAATTCTCCGGTGCAGGCGGCCTCGCCAGATGAGGAGACGACTGAGAAGGCAACCGTCAGGACTCTAAAAGTCCTAATGTAGACCCCTGATTAATGACCCTCCTGCCTTACATAGGGAGGAAAATCGGGATCCTAATATTGAGGAGCGGGTGTATTAATCATGGGCCTACATTACTGAGAAGGCAAGCGTCAGGACTCTAAAAGTCCTATTCAGCGCGCAGAGGGCATCCCAAACCCCTTAACACTAAACCCTAAACCCTAAACCCTGAACACTAAAGGGTTGAGGGATCCCATCCTTAGCAACAAAGGACCCAAAGCAAATTTGCTCGGATCAAGCGGTTAGCCTGACTACAGCAAGGACCCTTGGGACCCAGTACCCTAAGCCGTAGGAGCTTTAGATGTATCTGAAAGATAGGGATAGATAGGGTGACTGCACACCGTCCCAAACTGCAGTGCCACATCCTGTATCAGATGCAGAGCTGTTTAGAAAAAAACGATGATGCTGACATACCTCCCCCTTCACAACTAGGCCGGTGGAACGTTTGCTTCGTGTCTTTCTTGCTGTGGGCCTTTGATCCACCTGGGCCCTTGTTGTACTCGAAGGCTTTCTTTTTTTGTGGCTATTAGCCACTTTTTCAACCACCGGAGGGTCCATCCAAAATGTCTTCCGGTGATGACTTTGCACTCCGAGGAACTGAAGATCTTCCAGAATCTTTCAGCATTTATTGAAGCTGGGGTTGCGGGCTCAGGAGTCTAGGCATCAAGTGGATCGCCGGGTGGGAGCAGTCTGTCATGAAGTTCTGACAGAATGGGGTTCCAGAACAGGTTCCACGGCAGCATTAGCTCGTTGAATGGGTAAAGTGTACAAACAAATCCAAGTCAAAGGTTCAAAGCCGTGTCGCCACAACGCCGACGCGTACATGAGCCACCTTCTCTACATCAAACGGCACAATGATGTCGTTACCACATTGCTAGCATGCGGGAGTGCCTGGTCAAGGACTCCACAACCCTAAACCTTAAATTCTTCTACTTCCTGTCTGATGCTTCAGGCCCTCGAAGTTTCCACGTTTTGGTGCGCAAGCTCGCCGGCGAACAGCGTTGGTGCCGCCAACACTATCATGCCGGAATGGTCGCCTAAACCCTCAACCCAGAGCTACGGATGATATGTTCTGTCTCTTAATACGGTGGATACTAAAAATCCTGCATGACCCTAAGTACCCTAAACCTTGGGAATAATGGTACTGTAGTATACTTAGGTCATGCAGGATTTTTAGTATCAACAGTATTCCCTGGGTACCCTAATATATTGACAGCTGCTCAGGGTGGCAGCTATCCAAGTCACAGTCGTCAAAATGGCCCAGAATCAAGCCAATAATCTGTGGCTTGGCCACAGCCATCTGTGCAAACTTATGTTTAGGGTTTTCGGGTTCGGGGTTTAGGGTTTAGGGGTTATTAACGGTTTGGAATTCAGGGATTGCGTAGGGTTTAGGGTCTAGAGTTGCGAACACATCACGGCAGGAGACTGGACAAAGCGCGGGATGCAGGGGCATGGTGGCCCCTGGCATTCTGCACCTTACCGGTCACGCTCCACTTGACAGGTCGACCCTAAACCCTAAACCCTGAACCCTAGACCCTAAACCCTAAACCCAGCATGAACCCTGAAAACTTAAACCAACCACGCCTGGGCCTTGAGCAACCTCAAGCCCAACCCGCCAAGCGGTTTAGGGCTTTAGGGTTTAGGGTTCAGGGTTTAGGATCCAGGGGCCGCTGGTATGGGCCCTGAATCCTGGGGCCTTACATTAAACAACTATAAATACCTTATAACGGGTTTAAGGTTCAGGGCTTAAGGTTCAGGGAGTTTAGGGTTTAGGGTTTAAGGTCTAAGGAGTTTAGGGTTACATCTCAAGTTGGGTCCATGGGCTCCTAGTATGGGCCCTTAATCCTGGGGCCTTAAATGGGGGTTTCCAAAAATTAAGGGCAGCTTTTTAGAATGTCCCAATAAGAATTAGAGTTTTTGGGGTCTAGACCGGGGTCCCCTATTTAAGGGAGCCACATACCCATTACGTACCTCTGAAAGCCCTAGAAACACCATGCAGGGCCCACAGATAGGACACAGCCCTAGATCCTAAAGCCGAAACCCTAAACCATAGGAATTAGGTCAGGGCCCATGCTAGCAGGCCATGAGGATACTGAGGCTTGCAGATTACAAAACCTCGGGGACGCCAAATCCTAAACCGTAGGTCCTAAACACTAACCCCTTAAGACCTACACCCTATAACCCCCAAACCATGAAAGCCCACGACTTCGGCGGTTTGGGTCTGCATTTGGATGCTGGCCAAAGGAGACATCGCTGCAGAAGCTGCAAAAGCTGCCTGCCCTGCCATTTAGCGAGTGGGTTACACCCTTCATTTAGGTCGGCAAGAAAACCACATCTGCCGTGCACTGCAAGGGTACATGGTTTAGGGTGTAGGGGGCATTTATGGTTTAGGCAGGATACAACCCCTAAACTCCATGGGTTCAAGTGCCAGCTACCCTGGCAAAAAGGTCAAGCTCATGGAAAACTCATGACAAAGAACACCATCTTGCTAAAACTAGCATTCTATAGGGGATAATGAGGATTATATAGGGTCCTATCATATTCCTATTATACCACTATTAGGCGGGGCGGGGTCCTTCTAAGTTATTGCCTTAATGGAAGGTTCGGTACTGCGTGTAGACGAAAACTTACTTGTTCTTAGTAGGGAAGAAGGGAACGAACATAATCGCTATATAACGGTTATATTAAGGCAGTATGTTATACGAATAGGGGCTATATCAGCCATGGTCTAAACTCCTAGCACTCCTCACTAACGCTACAATACTCCCCTCTATTTCCCCTGGAGACCCCACTTTAAGAAGTTTAGACTAGAGCTCGTATGACCCCTGTAAGTACCCTAAACCCTAAACCCTAAACCGCCCTTGTTCCCTAAACCATAAACCCTAAACCCTAAACCCTAAACCCTAAACAAACCCTAAACCGCCCTTGTTCCCGACCGCCTGAAGGTCCCTCCTTTTCTTCGGGTTTAGGGTTCAGGTCGCCCGCAGCCCTAAAAAACATTCAGCAGGTTTAGGGTTTAAGGTTTAGGGGTTTAAGGTTTAGGGTTTAGGGGTTTAAGGTTTAGGGTTTAGGGGTTTCAGGTTTAGGGGTTTAAGGTTTAGGGGTTTAAGGTTTAGGGGTTTAAGGCTTAGGGGTTTAACGTTTAGGGGTGTAGGGGTTTAAGGTTTGGGGGTTCAGGGGTTTAAAGTTTAGGGGTTAGTTTAGGGGTTT